TATTTTTATCCTCACCCGAGGACATCTTTCCATTTTTTGTACAGATAGAATGGGAGGGAGAGAGAGGAAGGGAGAGAGAGTGAGAAACATCGACGTGAAGGGACACATCGAGCGGCTGCCACCCACACGACCAACCAGGGCCGAGGACAAACTGCAACCGAAGTACGTGCCCTTAGCGGGAACCGAACCCGGGTCTCTCCGGACCGCAGGCCGACGCTCTAACCACTGAGCCAAACTGGCCAGGGCTCTAGAAAGATATTTTAATTAAATGCATTAAAATTAGGCTCTTAGACAAATAAAATTATATGTAATATATAACAGTGTACAAATATAATTCAGCAAAGACTCCTATTTGTTCACTCTCTCCTTAAAGAAAATAAAATCTTCAATACCTGTCCCATGAAAACCAGCATGTATTGCCCAAGAAACCCCAGTACAGTAGGAGGAAGTCAAAGTGAAAACATAAGAGCACTTCCTTCTGCAGAAGATCTGTTCATTAAATAGGTATCTGTACATATCTCTATTACCTAAATATTTATAAAAAATGCATGTCATACTTTTAGTTAGAAAAGATTTATCGTCATTTTTTGATGTGATAAGTTTATTAGGTTGCTTTTGATTTTGAGGAAAAAGCAGATTTTAGAAATTTCTGCCTGAGGACTAACCTTAAATATATTAAATCCCACAAAAAGTAAATCAATGACATTGTGAAGGGTTCCAGACAAAGTCACAGAATCCCTGAACCAACAAACAGCATGTTTCAAGAGTAAAAACTGTGTGCTTCTCCTGAGCTCTGTCTACAGAAAAAGCACTATCCCTCTAACTAAACAACACCCATAGAACCTCAAACAGAGGAAGCCTAAACATTTGGTAAATCTTTCCTCACCCCTTCTTACTAAGTATAAAATATATATTCCCCTTCTGAGCAGATTTTCTGGACACAACTGAAAATTGATGCCGTTCGGCCCCAGACTGCCCCTTCGCTCATTGTTTGCTATACACAGAGGGAGAATAAGCCATGTATTTGTAATTCAATCACAAATTTTTAATGAACACAGCCACAACATCTACCTTTTTTTTTCTAAATGTTATATAAATGCACTGTCCAATAAGGTAGTTAGTAGACAAATATGGCCATTAAGCACGTAAAGTATGGTCAGCTTAAACTGAGAAATGTTATAAATGTAAAATATATACCAATTTATTAAGGAATAAAAGAATGTAAAATATTTCATTGATATTTTTATATTAATTACATGTTCAAATAATATATGTATTATTTTGTTAACTCTCACCAGAGGATATCTTTCCATTGACATTTTTAGATAGAGTGGAAGGGAGGGATGAAGGGAGAGAGAGAAAGAGAGAAACATCAATGTGAGAGGTACACACCAATTGGTTGCCTCCCACATGACCCCAACCGGAGCTGGGGATCAAACCTGCAACCCAGGTATGGGCCCTTGACCAGGAATCAAACCTGTGACTCTACGGTCCAAGGGCTGATGCTCTAACCACTGAGCCAAACAAACCAGGGTTCAAATAATATTTTTATCATATTAGGTTTAAAAATATATATTATTAAAACTAATTTCACCTGTTCTTACTACCTTATTTAATGTGGCTACCAGAAAATTTATAATTACATGCATGGTTCACATTTACTTTCTACTAGACAGGGCTAGTCTGTAAACTAGTGATCATATGCTCTTACTAAACTATTCATATATCAAGCTTTCATGCTTATACCATCATAAAATCTACTCATTACGATAGCCTAGCCAAACTTCCCCTCTCCCTTGATTTGCAACATAAATTATATTGTTTCCTTCCTTTCTGATACCTTCATTCATTATTAAAATGTTGAATAAATTTTATTGTATATCTATCTTGTCCTCCACTACCCCACCCCACCCAGGTTACTGGCCTTAAAATATTCACCTTTTATCTCTAATGGCAATCACACTTAGAGAAGGGGAGGAAGAGAATTTTTCCCAAAAGAGCCTCCAGATTATCTCTAAGAAGCAATATGTGGTAGTGTAAAGGGTTTGGTCTCTAGAATCAAACAGCCTTACCATGAACACAGCCTCCCACTACGCAAAGCACTATTGCTCAGTTCCCTACTCTGTAACAAAAGTAAATACTATTAAGTTATCACTTGATATTAAATTAATATTTCATTTAACTAATATTTAATATTAAAATATAAATACCATAGGTTGTTGTGATATAGTATAAGAAAAGCACTTAGAACAGCTCCTGGGACTTCAGTGTTAATATTAGCTATCATTGTTACCATTATTTCCTTTTTTGTCCTGCTTCCTGAACCTATCAGTCTCCTCTTTGTGTTCCTGGACACCCTATCAACAGGTTCTCTCCTCAGTCAAGCCTGTGGCATATTCATTAAAATGTGAAGAAAACAGAATAGCAGTTGGGAGGTGGGGGTCATTTGGGGCTGGCAAAAACAAAAAACTCTAAACACAAGACCCCGTAAGAATGTTTACTGCCTCATAAACAGAAAAATTCCTTGCTATGAGAAATAGTCAAGCCAATTCAGGACCCTGTAAGAGGTATCTTTAAGGGGGTTGGAGTAAATGTTCCTAAAGCTCCCTTTTAGTCCTCTAGAGCCCCTATCAAGGTATCTAAACCAGTTGTCAAAATCTGGAATATATCTCATATATAATACTCATCAAATCTAAAAATTACACATTCTTTGTGGCAATTTGACTTAGCTACTAACTCTTTATTATACATATAAAAAGTCAACCATCTCCTATCTATGGCTATTGGAAAGCCCAAGTTTAGACTTTCATTATATGGCAACCCAAATTTTAAAAATCTGTCCACTCACACCTGAAACTAATGTAGTATTGTATGACAACTATATTTTCTTCATCATCATCACCATCTTAATCATCATCACCATCATCGTCCGTTTGGGGGGAAAAAATCTGTCCACTCTTACCTAAAAGCTCAAAAAGCAGGAAATGTAGCCCTGGCCAGTTTGGCTCAGTGGTTAGAGCATCGGCCTGTGGTCCAGAGAGACCCGGGTTCAGTTCCCATTAAAGGTATGTACCTCAGTTGCAGTTTGCCCCCGGCCTGGTTTGTCGTGCAGTGGGCAGCCACTCAATATGTCCCTTTCATGCTGACGTTTTTCTCTCTCTCTCTTTCTCTCTCTCCCTCTCTCTCCCTCCCACTCTATCTGAACAAAAAATGGAAGAAAAAGGTCCTCTGGTGAGGATTAAAAAAAAAAAAAAGCAGGAAATGTATATGAAAAGATCAAAATGCTCACTTTGTCACTTGTGGCATACCAAGTCTCATGAACTTACAGCAGATTCAGGTGGGTAACTCTTTAACTAAAGCCAAAATCTAGGTCAACTGAACCTCGCAATATCCTTTTCATATTCTGTCATATGTTATACACATTTGTACTATATATTTTATTTCCTTCTTCTCCAGATTAGATAGAAAGTATCCTAAAGACAAGGACTATATATCCTCCTGAATTCAAAAATTTACAACACTAATTCTGACATACTGGATACCCAAATATCTGTCATGCTAAATTGAATCTGTACTTATAAAAACAATGCTATTTACTTTGTGGAAGTCCTCAGTTTTTAAAACATTTTTATGTGATTTCATTTTATTGTTCCAACAATTCTGTAGTCACATCAGAGACATAGTCTCATTTTTTGTGAAGTAACCGAAGCTCAGAAGTCTAAGTCCCTAGTCCAAAACTATTCTCCTTTGTATGTCTTCAAAGGCAAACTTTTAGTGCTAGACCATGCTGGTCATAAGTGTCAAAGCCAGAGCTGCACGGCACCACATCACACCACACCACATTTCAGCCCTTCCCAGAGAGATTCAGTAGGGGAAGGAAGAAGATGAAAGAAAGGGCAACAAGTTTTGATGATGAGAAAAGTGTATGTTCAGTCCCTAAATAACATTAAATAGCTTTTCACATTTCATTTTTCCTATCTTATTAAACTCTCAAGTTTCTATTTTCCTTCCTAAAACTTTGTCTCTGTTACATTTCTTTTTTTTTTTTTTTTATCCTCACCTGAGGACATTTTTCCATTTTTTGTTCAGACAGAGTGGGAGGGAGAGAGAAGAAGAGAGAGAGAGAGAGAGAGAGAAACATTGACATGAAAGGGACACACAGAGTGGCTGCCACCTGCACGACCAACCAGGGCCAGGGACAAACTGCAACCGAGGTATGTGCCCTTAGTGGGAACCGAACCCGGGTCTCTCTGGACCGCTGGCCGACGCTCTTAACCGCTGAGCCAAACCGGCCTGGGCTTGTCTCTGTTACATTTCTTTATTCTCATATAATTAGCTGTATCTTCATCATCAAAATTATATTCTCTATCTGAAATTTTACCTGCTATCTTCCCTCATATCTATAAGCCAATCTATGTTTTAAAAGTTATGCAATTTTGCCCTGGCCAGTGTCGCTCAGTTGGTTGAGCTTTGTCCCATGCACCGAAAGGTCACTGGTTTGATTCCCGATCAGGGCACATAACCAGGTTTCAGGTTCGATTCCCTGTCAGGGTGCATGCAGGAGGCAACCAATTGATGTTTCTCTCTCACATAAATGTTTCTCTCTCTCTTCACCCCTCTCCCTTTCTCTCTCTCTAAAAGTCAATAAAATTATATTTTAAAAAAAATTTTAAGATGAGTAATTTTCAGCACCAAATATGCCACACAACAATGCCAAAAGTACAATGTACCAAATTCACCCACAACTTGTTTTATCCAGCCCCTTACAAAACTATTATATAGGAAGCAAAACATTTTTCATTATATGCACTGCATATTGTACATAGTAAGTAGTCAGAAAATGTTTGTTAACTAATACACAATTCAACAAGGTTTAGATTCACTTGGCCTTTCTACTCCACTGGTACATACATATGTAGCTTCAAACACAAAATTATTCATTTCTCAAAATAGTAACATATAATTAAAACAGGTAAGTGCTGTGCATAAAGTGTACTAACCTGAACTTGTTCAATTAATCAATAAAGGCAATAGAGCACTTTATCTCGTGTCATGGGTGATCTCTGAGCAAAAGCAACAACCTGGAATAAAAGAAAAATAGATAAAATTCAGCTCTACTTAAATTCCAGTTAGTCTTATTATGGTTGTTGTTTTTTTAATCTCTTTTTTCTTTCCTTACATAGCCAGTCATGACATGTAAAATGTACATTCAATTTTTCTGCAAGCAGTGCTTTTCAAATCCTAATAAGGAATGAATGGGTTTTCATTTTGCAAATTACACTTAAATTTAGTAACATTCGGTGTCTTAATCTGTTTCATAGTTCATCTTAATATAAGTCAACACCTATAAAACTTGCTTTGTGAATACAAAATTCTTTAATTTGGTCTACTTTTTAAAAACAGGGCAATCTGAAATGTCTATTTTCACCTTAATGCTAAAAATCTATATCCCCATACTCCTATTAGCTGTGCAACCTAATTTCTGACTATCTTCTATACAAACTTCCATTAAAGTGAATTTAATTTGCTTGCTTTCCACAGAACAACTTTGTCATTCTCAGCTGTCACCCTGTAACACACCATTCCTTCTTTTTAGAACAGGGATTTTTTTCTCCTTTATCCTCTCTGTCAATCAATGTACATCAGTCAAGTCAACTTCCTCAAATCCAGCCCCTCCATTCCTCTTTGAGAGATGATATAATCATTCTGTATTCCATTAATCCTTGCTAGAATATTCTGCTACCTTACATATGTGTTATCTCTTTTCATATTCTGATTAGAGGCCCTATCTCCTACTTCTTTTCTTGCTGCCTCTCCATCATCTAGGACCATGTTTGACACCAAGAAGTAATCATTATGATTGACCGACAAGTGAAATGGTCTTAACTTCCTAACTCTACCTTCCACAAAGCTGGCTAGACATATCAAGTATATAATATCCATCAACAAATTTTATCTAGGCATCTCATATTTACTATCGCCTAGCCAAATAATATTAAAGTGGAGTATCTCTAACTAAGACAAACTTTTCTCACAAACCATTTTCAGTGTTCAAGATCAGGAACAGTATTCTTTTTAATTGTGCTTAGCTTGTTAACCTGAAAATGGACTATAAACATATTATACTAGTTAAACTCTTATATTTATATCATCAGGTTCATAAAAGAACAATTACCAAATTCATTTACATTCTAAGGTTTCTACTTCACTTTCATTTGAAATAACTTTGTAGCTCAACATTGGCCATTGATAAGTTACATCTGAATTTCAGAAGTATATATGCATTTCAAAAGTTTACTATTTCATAACAGGAAATAAAATTTTAGCTGATAACCCCATAAAGTAAGACTTCTTGCCAAAGCAAACATTGCTATATAAAATAATTTGAAAAATAAAAAGCATAGTATTTTATTATTCATTGTTTTTATTTCCTACTTGAGCTTTCATTAATATATAAGACTTAATAAATGCTTTTTATGGGCATTATAAAAATGGAAAAAATTAAAATAAGCCATCCTCAATTAACACAGCCAAGGAAATATAAAAATATATTACCATACCTATTTACTATGAGCCTTTTTAAACATAATTCTATGCTGTAACTCAGTAAATGATCATTTTTATGCATGTCAAATTGCTAAAGAACTAACTGTAAGGAATTAAGGATCTAATGGTATGCTACTGAGTGTTTAATGTGTACCAAATGCCTTGACTAAGCACTTTCAATCATTTAAATAACATAACCACCCTGTAATTATCATCTCCATTTTACAGTTGAAGAAACAAATTCAGTTAATAAATGGTAGGATTAGAATTTGAACTCAGATCTGACTCCAAAACCATAATTTTTTCCACTCTACCAAGTTACAAGCTAGACTAAAAGTTAGTTTTCAATCATTCATTAACAAAATATCAGAAATAGTATCATTCAGTCTCAATTATACAAAAATGTAAATTATCTGTAATACATGGCCTAACCCAAAACTCAGATATATAATCCCTGATGGTTACAAGCTAGTAAATGTACTGAACATTTCATGCTTGGCACAGATGCTTGGCATCTGACAAGCAATGAGGACCTCATATACAAATAAATAGGCAGGCCACCATGAATGAACAGGCTATCCCAAAACCTATTCAGAATTCAGAATGTGCTTACCTTTTATATAAAAACAATACTAAAAATGATTAATTCAATTCCCAGGTCAGCCCACATTTAAATAGTAATTCTTCAACTATATCTTGCTACTGTTTATAAATATAGAAAAATATATACATGTGTGTATGTCCATGGGTGGTGGTGGTGGTGGTGGTGGTGGTGGTGGGCGGGGATTAATATTCTGAGTTCCAATGTGATCTCAGGAATTCATCTGTCTCCCTGTTTGTCAGTGACAGCAGAGATGTCTCTGATACACAAGGTAGCATGGCAGCCTTGCAAAGGCAGGTATTCAGCAAAGATAAGATGAATTAACAATACCTGTTGGAAAATCTGGTGACATAAGAGAAAGCATTCTTCTAGATAGGAATCATTCACTTCTTGGGCAATTTTTATTCTATAGAGTACTTCAATCAAAAACTAACTGCATTATAAGTTAATTTGGTACGCTGTAGAAAGCACATCTTTACTTTCCTTATTGTCTATTTCTACTTGAGCATAAAACTATAAATACAGCCCTGGCCAGTTTGGCTCAGAGGTTAGAGCGTCCATTCGATGTGTCCCTTTCACGTCAATGTTTCTCTCTCTCTCTTCCTCTCTCTCCCTCCCACTCTATCTGAACAAAAAAATGGAAGTGTCCTCAGGTGAGGATTAAAAAAAACAAACTATAAATACAATGCTTAATAGCCAATTTGGCAATAGCCATGTACCAGCCACTATGTTGATTATTAAATCATTCAACCTTAAACAGGCCTTATAACCTTATAACAAGCCTATGAGCTTGTTATTAACCCATTTAACTGATAGAGAAATAGAAATTTAGTAAAGTAACTTCTCTCTTCAAGGTCACACAACTAATGTGTAATAGAATAAGGTCTGCTATCAAAGACCATGATATCATTTACTTTACTACATTTACTGAACACCTAGCATCCCAGGCATAGGAGGGGGAAGGGGTACCAAGTCATAAGCCTTACTTAACCTAAAGATATTCATATCCTAACATCCATTCAACAAATGTGTTCCAGATACTGTTTTAGGCTGAATCAAAGTTGTTTGTACTAATGGACCTGAATTGAGGCTTTCCTCAAATAATATTAACTTTACTACATAATAATCTCCATTGCCAAGGTTTTTTGGAGAAATCGCTGATTCCACAGAACCATCAGAAAATTACAAAATAAGCCTGGAATAAGATATCACACCAGAAGCAAGAAAGCAATCAAACAGTACCAGAGTCATGTAAAAGGATTCAGAAACCTCTTAAAGAGACTCCCACTGGTCAAAGATAGAACAATTTGAGCTTCATTAACCATATTAATTGTAATGGATTAAAATCTAAATATGTCTAAATTTATGAGTGCATAATGATCTTTTTTAAAAAAACAAAAACATTTTCAAGTTCTTAGGAAACAAATTTACTATCTTGAAAACTGGTAAATACAATAAATTTTTTTAATAAAAAAAGAAAGAAAACTGGTAAGTAAAGAATTAAGCATGTGTCCTGTTTGTCCTTTTAAATTGTACTGATCAATAACAAAATAGCAGAAGAGGAGAGTATTCTATGGAAGTATCATAAAGAAAAGAAAAATTATTTAGAATATCACCACTTTGCAACCCCCAATGAATTATTGGATCTAGGCATTAAATATCATTAACTCCTAACATCACACACACACACACACACACACACACACACACAAAGACTCATGATGCAGATATCAAGTGCCTCCTGACACACACACAACACCACCACCTACATACAGTCTTGCCAAAAAAATCACACCTGATTCTTTCTGATCAAGCCTCTGGATCCTCAGGAAAATCTGCCGGACACACAGAGAACAGAGTGACATGCTGAATTACACCATTCGTATGTGGTCAGCAGAATCCAAACTGTAAGAAATTCTACAAGTCAAACAGTCCAGGGTATAATAGCTAAACTGTAGAGGGGGGAGGGGTTGAGAAGGGGGACCTACAGATTAAAAAGCTCAAAAACATTACAAATTCAAAAAGAAAATAGAGTAGATTAAATTACAGTGTCCAGAGATACACACTATGATGAAACTACGGATTACTATAGAAATCAAAATAATGTTACTACTGGGGAAGGAAGTAGTTATGATTGGGACAGAGTACCTGGAAAGTTGCTGGGGCAGCTGGCAAAGTTCTACATATATATATCAATTATATGTGTGTGTGTGTGTGTGTGTGTGTATACACATACACATATATATATACATACACACACACACACACATATACGTACATATATATGTGTGTGTGTGTGTATGTGCCATGACCAGGAATTGAACCAGCAACCTCTTGGTGCATGGGACGCTGCCCAATCACTGAACCATATAGACAGGGCAAGTTCTACTTCTTGACCTGGATGGTAGTTATAGTTGTGTTCACTTTATAATACATTAAATACATTTGTTTTGTGTGGTTTTCTAAATCTGTGCTTTATTTTATAATAAAATGTATTTTAAAGAAAGGAGAGAGAGAGAGAGGGAATTCTGAGTCTAAAAAACATAGTGGAAACTCCAGCTCTACCACATTCTTGTGTGATCCTAAGCAAGACATCTAATACCTCGATGCTTCAGGTTCTTCATGTGTCTAAGATAGGGAAAATACTACTTAACCATACTGTGAGCAAAGTTTAAATGTTTAGCAAGGTACCCACTAGACAATATTATTTCACTACCACCCAAATTCTTTGTCTAGAATGATTATAGTACTAATTATTTTAATATAAAAGATTTTCTGCAATATCACTCACTCTACATGTAAATCCTTGAAAGTTAAAAAAGATTGCCCAGCCAGTGTGGCTCAATAGATTGAGTGTCCTTCCATGGACTGAGAGGTCCTGGTTCCATTCCCAGTCAGGGCACATGCCCCAGTTGCCGGCTCAATCCCCAGTAG